TGACATCCCACAACTATGCTAACTAGGGGAGTGTGAAATGGGCCCTATTCAGTTCGGATTTGGCCTGAATCAGGGACAGTGATTTGATTAGTTGATTTGGATCACTGTCCCTGATTTGATTAGGCTGAATCCCAATCTGAAGATTCAATGCTGATTCAGAGAATCTACTGGTCTCCTGCAAGACTGATTTTGCTCCCTGCCTGGGGGATCAAAGTGATAATTTTGAGGAGTCTTTTGGTTAACAAGCCTGTAAACATAGATAACTGGACTCAATGGCCCAAGAGACCTTTGTTTTAAACATTATCCCTCAAAACATTCTGAAAATCCTCTTGTATCATTAACCTCTCTTTATCTCGATAAGGGACATGTGTCACAACTTCAGTATTCAGAAGGCACTGGCTGGTCTGTGACATATATATAGTAACCACTTGCCTGACTTCAATCCCAAACTGGAACCACGGCCAGTTGTATGTGTTGAACTACAAACATCCTAAAAAATCCTATGGTCATCAGGAAGTCCTGACCCAACTCAGAATATTCATTGTCAGCATGAAAATTAAAATCACCAAGGACAATTAACCTCAGTGATTTCATTGCTGCAGAACTGAGGAATTTAATCAGCTCAGGACTTCAATGGATGGATGGATGACTGGTGAACTAAAACCACCCTTCCTAATTTCAGCCCAGGGTTCATGTAGAAGACAGACATGCTCTCTTAGTTCTGGGAAACCTAGTCATAAGGCTGGACACAGGAAGCATGGCTACGCATCCTGCAAATGCCCCTTGGTTCAAGGTACCCAGTTTTAGATAATTGCAATGAATGTTAGTTCAAAATGTTATTAAGCAGATTAAGTAATAAACAAAGTCAGGGGCCTTCTCCTTTCTCACATCATGAAAATTCAAAGTTATTTACCACTGACACTTCGTCATTCTGGACCTAAGAAAGGGATGACATCCTGATTTTACTGACATCAGTGGAAAATTCCCACTGGCTTCAATGGCGGCAAAATTTCAGTTTCATAGTTTCTAGGGTCGGAAGGGACCTTAGCAGATCATCTAGTCCGACCCCCTGCCATGGCAGGAAAGAGTACTGGGGTCAAATGACCCCAGCAAGGTGTTCATCTAACCTCCTCTTAAAACCCCCCAGGTTAGGAGCCTGCACCACCTCTCTTGGAAGTTGGTTCCAGACCCTAGCCACCCTGACCATAAAATAGCGTCTCCTGATGTCTAACCTAAACCTACCCTCTGCCAGCTTGTGACCGTTATTCCTGGTCACTCCTGGCGGTGCTCAGGGGAACAGTGACTCCCCCAATGCCTGCTGATCCCCCCGACCAGTTTATAACAGGCCAGGATTCTTCTGTGCTGACAACCCAGTTTACTGAGAAATAGTTATGGATGAAATCATTTTCCAGGCATTTTTGTTTCACCATGTCTTCACATGCCCAATACCATAAGAATCAAGAAACTCAGACCTTCACAACTATTCCAGACCTCTGTATTCCCAGTACTTGGAGGAGTTGTTTCACCCATCTTAGATGAAGGAAACTATTAAAGAAATGCTGCTAGTATGGGCTGGCAATTATTAACAACCTCCAGAGAAGGCTGGAAAAGGCATCACAGAACACAAACTCCTCCCAAAATAGCATCCCTTTTCAATCACTAGCTGTGTTTGATCTTCATATCTCACACCCCATAATCTCTACAACAGCATATATATCTTGCAGGATTGTAAATTACACTAATAAATACACATATGTCTATATCCAGTTCAGCTGCTCACAAAGAGATGCTGTAGGAAATAGAATATTGATTAAACTTATGATACTGGTATCAGGTTTTGTTATTTATTTTTACCCCAAATTCCTCCATAATCTTTAGAAGAATTTCTCAGTCATTCCAGATCTGCAAGATAAATTGTATCATTTTCATGCATGAGGTAAAGATGTGAATATGACAAGCATGCACAAATTCTAGCTGTTCCCAGTATTTTTGAGTAAACCTACCAGTGTAGCGAAAATAGATACTTTTCTCTATGTTTC